TCAAAGGCTTTCGCATAGTCAATGAAGCAGAAGTAGATATTTTTCTGGAACTCTCTGGCTTTCTCCATAATCCAGCGCAAGTTAGCAATTTGGTCTCGAGTTCCTCTGCCTCTTCGGAATCCAGCTTGTACTTCTGGGAGTTCTCGGTCCACATACTGCTGAAGCCTACCTTGCAGGATTTTGAGCATAACCTTGCTAGCGTGCGAAATGAGTGCAATTGTACGGTAGTTGGAGCATTCTTTGGCACTGCCTTTCTTTGGGATTGGGATGTAGACTGATCTTTTCCAATCCTCTGGCCACTGTTGAGTTTTCCAAACTTGCTGGCATATTGAATGTAGCACCTTAACAGCATCATCTTTCAAGATTTTAAATAGTTCAACTGGAATGCCATCACCTCCACTGGCCTTGTTGTTAGCCAGGCTTTCTAAGGCCCACTTGACTTCACTCTCCAGGATGTCTGGCTCAAGGTCAGCAACTACATTGTCTGCATTGTCCGGGATATCCAAATCTTTCCGATATAATTCCTCTGTGTATTCTTGCCACCTCGTCTTGACGTCTTCTGCTTCTGTTAGGTCCCTCCCATTTTTGTCTTTTATCATGTTCATCTTTGCGCAAAATGTTCCTCTAATATGTCCAATTTTCCTGAACAGATCTCTGGTCTTTCCTTTTCTGTTATCTTCCTCTATTTCTTTGCATTGTTCATTTAAGAAGGCCCTCTTGTCTCTCCTTGCTATTCTTTGGAAGTCTGAATTCAAGTTTCTGTAACTTTCCCTATCTCCCTTGCATTTTGCTTCCCTTCTCCTCTCTGCTATTTCTAAGGCCTCGTTGGACAGCCACTTTACTTTCTTGCATTTCCTTTTCTTTGGGATGGTTTTCGTTGCTGCCTCCTGGACAATGTTACGAGCCTCTATCCAAAGTTCTTCAGGCACTCTGATGGTTTTTGTTGCTGCCTCCTGGACAATGTTACGAGCCTCTATCCAAAGTTCTTAAGGCACTCTGTCCACCAAATCTAGTTCCTTAAATCTGTTCTTTACTTCCACTGTGTATTCATAAGGGATTTGGTTTAGGTTATACCTGAGTGGCCCAGTGGTTTTTCCTACTCTCTTCAGTCTAAGCTTGAATTTTGCTATGAGAAACTGATGATCAGAGCCGCAGTCAGCTCAGACCAATCTTCTCCAAATTAAGGAACATTCTATCAAGCTTATGTACAGATAGTATTTTACCTCACTCCACTAAAGCTGTAACAACAAAGAAATCAGCTCAACCTGTAGGAAGAATATTGGTGGATATGCCCTCCAGCTGTTCTGGTTCAGGATTTTTATAGAAATAGAAAAAAAATTACAGAGCAAAAAAGCACCAGATCACCAGATCTAGCACTTCTGACCTTATTTTCAGGAAACAACAAGCAGCTAACTCATAACCACTTGCTTGACTTTTTCTGTATGGCAGCACATTTGGAAATTATACAAACTGATAGGCAATTTGTAATTTAACTTTACATGTGTGGAGAAATAAAATATGGCATATTGCCCTAATGAAGAAAGTAACTCATCAAATCAGATTACTTAAACAACTACACTCCCAAGATGATTTTTTTCAACACTTGGCTTTTTATTTATTATGTAAATAATAATGACAAGCCTCATTTTCCACTAGCCTACCATGTCAGTCTTTGGTGCAATATTCTAATCTGATCTAGATTGTAATGGGGTGAAGTCACAGAGATTATACATTCCTGATGAAAGAGTTGTACTATTATTTTGTTGTTTTTCCATGTTTTAATAAAGTAAAAAGAAATTGAATGAACAGGCAGTTTTGTTTTTAGCTCTTTTTAACAAGTTATGGGATCAGATGAGTTTAAGGAAAGCAGCTTTGAGTTCCAGTTAGGTGAGAAACATGTTTAATAAAGGATTCTCACTTCTGACACTTGGAATGGAAGATTTATGAACTTCAATAGAGGAAGTATAAATGATATTGCTGTAATGAAATGCTGATATCACTCTCCAAATATGGTTCTGTTCTGAAATAGATGCAGCAATAAATACTGGTTACATATTTGAGAGCTTTCAAACTGTGTCTTGTAGAGCCACCTGGATAATTCTGTCATCACAGCCCCTGAATTATGAGATGAAAACCATCAAAGGGAAAATCAGGTTAATTAGTCATATATTGTTCATAAATTGTTATTCTGTTATACTGGATCATATGGTTGGCATCTGTTACAGACGATGAGCCATTATTTAGAAACTGATGTAAATATGTTGTTAACTAGACACCTCACTTCTCCCCACCCCACTGGTAAGCTGCTACTTACTTGGAATTTTAAAAAACCCAAAATACATAGGTATTATCTTTATTAGAATCAAGCTGGGTGGTAAAAAATCAGGGTAGCAGTGCCTACTGAAATACATGGCCAGATGTTTGAAATCATAGAGAACTCCAGTTGAGGTTCCACATTGCCAAGAGAAACTTGATGGGCCAGTCATGACAAAGCCCACTGGGGAGGGAAGAAGGATGGAGATTCACATTCTACAAAGACAACAATCTCTAGGTGGCATATCTGCAAGACTGTTTCACTAACCAAGCTCCATCTTCCAACTTGAGACTTTTGTCTGAATGCAGTTGTCCATGATCAGTGAGGGAAGAATTCCTGCTTTTAGTTGGAATCCTATGTTCATTGAAAAGCAGGTTCCACCTCTTTTCCCAGTGGCACTGAACTGCAAAACATGTTACAATTTTTAAAAAAATTGTACAATTTTTTAAAAAATCTTCCTTACAATTTTTAAAAAAATTGTAAGGAAGAGAATGCCTCTCGTCTCCCTTCTGCCTGGGCCAATTAAGTAGTTCTCTATCATTAGACAATTGCAGATGTGTATATGTAAGCTTCAGTTGAGGAACACACAAAAGCTCCCACAACACTATCACATAGTTCTCATACCACCACAAATATGACAGAGTAGACAAAATGATGAGTGCTTATTGGTTGTTTTTAAACAAAGGTGATTCTCTAATAGAGTACTGGATTTTTAAGTGTGTTCCAAATTTATGACACAAACTCAGTAGGACGTGCTCAATCTGCAAAGATCTGGTAAACTGCCCATGATGTCTTGTGCCATAATGACAAATACTGGGTCAGAAGTCAAGCAAGACTTACATTGCTGTTTAATTCTGGTGAAATTGCATTCAAAACTATAGATATTGAGGTATTGCAACTCAATAAACCATGACTGCCAAAAACCCAGCAGGGCAACAACTTTCAGTCTTACAAAGGATTTCATAGGTGAGAGTCTCTGTCTTACAAAGGATTTCATAGGTGAGTGTCTCTGTCTTTTATAACTTCAGCTCAGCACGACTAGGTTTTCAAGACGTATACAACACTTTTGATGTCTGTTCCACAAGAATCAATTGTTTTGCCTTACTGCAACTTAAGTTCCTATACAGAAAATTAGTAATCTATCAAGTTATCTACAGAAGAATGCAGAGTTTCTTGTATAAGATTAGTGTGCAAGAACTATAGGAAGTTTGATGGTGGCTAATAAAGCAATCAAACCAAAGAAAGGAAATCACTTGGGTCCCCACCATGGGTGAAAAGCGGCATATGAATAAAACACATAAATAAAATGGGACTCATGACACTCACAGGCTGGCAAAAGAAGGAGCTAATGTCAGAGTAACAACAATTAACCGGAAGGGCTGTAAAGAAATGAAGCAGCAGGTTGCAGGGAAAAATTGAAAACAACTCCAGAGGAACAAGGGACATAGAAAGATAATACCATAACCTATAGGAGGCAGATAGAAAGAAAATGCGCTCTCAGACCAGGGAGGAAAACATCTGTACCTGACAAAAAGGAAAATGGATTGAAATACAGACTTATGGTGGTAGTATTGGGGGAAGAGAAAGCTGGTCTGTTATAGTCTAGAGAAACATTTGCATACACTGCAGAAAACAACTTTACAACTTTAAGGTTTCTGTGCTCATCCTCACAGTGTGTTGCTGTAGAAGTATTAAAAACGGAGAAGTGGACTATAGGGGGATTCAGGTTTTGCACCCTTGTAAGCAGATTGTTTCTCTGAATTAAACTGGTCTACATTTAGAACTTCCTTCTTTGAATAAGGCTGTTCTACTTGAAGCAGAATCCAATGTCACAAGAGTTGAAACCTTTTCTGCTCCTCTTCTGCCACCTGCAGGCCAACACTCTGCTTCAAAGGGCCCACCAATGGATGCAGCTGTAGAGGCTTTACTGAATTCTCCCCTTTCTTCCATTACTCCCTATAAGTTGTCCTAGGGTCTCTGAATCTAAGTAGTGTGCGAAATAAAAATGAAGAAAATAACGCCTACAGTGGTACCTCGCTAGACAACAACCTCGCAAAACGATGAATCTGCATGACGATGAGGTTTTGCAATCGCTATAGCGATTCGCAAAACAGTGATTCCAATGGGCGATTTTTGCTGGACGATGTTTGGGTCCCTGCTTCGCAAACCGATTTTCATAAGACAACGATTTTGCCACTGATCGGGGCTTCGCAAAACGGGTGTTTTCGGGACTGATGCTTCGCAGGGCAGCAATTTTAACAGCTGATCAGCGCTTTGCAAAATGGCTTCCCTATGGGCAGTCTTCGCAGAACGATGGTTTTTCCCACTGGAACGCATTAAACGAGTTGCTCATCTTTTGGGCTAAGTTTTCGCAAGATGATGTTTTCACTAAACAGCGATTTCTATGGAATGGATTATTGTCATCATGTGGGGCACCACTGTACTGACATTTCCACAAGTGAACTGTTTCTTTCAAATAATAACTATGTAAAACTTCCAGAACACTTATATGCCTATTTGTTTATTTATGAGCTATAGTTTGATGTGGATTCCTGCAGTGAGCAGAGTGTTGGGACTTGATGGCTTTATAGACTCCTTCCAACTCCATTATCCTATGACTATGCTGAATTTGGCAAACATTCCTTACTATACCTCTTTGATACTTGAATGAACACATACACATACAGAAGCACAGATAAATTTTTAATGCCTTAGCTTTGTGTTTTTCAAAAATGAGCATGGGATATTTTATGTTGTAGCTTTACATCTTTTATATGTACAATGTTACAACTGTATAGGTAATAAATGACATGATATCTTTTACAACTCAATATGATGTATTTATAAAATGAATTTATCAAAATACGCTTTGCACTAGATAATAAATAAAGTCCAGGCAAACCAACCTTCTCAAAGTTGACATTAACTCTGGTAGGTTTAAATGTTGTTTACAGTCCATTATGACTACTATGCTTACTCCTTTACCCTGATCCCCCCACCCCCCACAATGCTCATCTTTTGGGCTAAGGATTCACTTGCTGTTCCTGCTGAGATTTCTCATTCCACATCATCTTCAGCCAAGGACTGTGCACTTACAATTCTCTGTAAAATAAAATATTTGAACAATCTGAGAGTGATATAATGGACAGTATACTCCTCTTGCCAATGAACTATTGAAATAAATGAAACCTGCACAACTAAACTTTGATTCCCAATCCGCTCTGAAAAGAGAGAAATAAACAGTCCCCAAGTACAATGAAGAGGATTCAAACAAGCAAATAATCAAAACATTTAAACAAAAAAGTAATAAAAACATGAAGTTCTGCAATATTTGTTCACGCCAAAACATAATTAAATAGGATCAAGTAGCCCCTTTCCCCGTTGTCTTTATTGCTAAGATGTTACTAATACTTAATAGTTTTAAATTCAATGGATTAAAAAATATTGAGAGTTGTTAACTGTGCACATACACCTGAAAAGAAAGTACCACAATAGCTCTTTGACTGTTCTACTGATGCAGTTCTTCATTCTTAGCAAACCCTTGTTTTAATCTTGTTGCTTGATGTACTTAGGCACATAACTACAAATCTGCTTTGACACTATCCAAAACAGACTGCATCCAGTCGTGTTTTTCTGAAGGAGAGATTCTTGTTATTCCCCTCCTCCCAGCAGTTCTCCCCATTTTCCTGTAACTATACAGAGCAAATTGGGTGTCTTTGGGGATCACAGAAGAAAGGAGGAAATGTGGGCAAAATAAGCCTTCTATTTCTGGAAGCCCAAGCCAGAATATTTTGTGAACAGAGGTATACCACTCAACCCAGAACAGTAGCTCATTTGCGTGCTGCAAACAGCAGGAATGATTGTAAATAGAGAAAGATGAGTTTGCAGTGACATATTTTAAGATTTTAGAAGACTCTACCTGTAGCTTATGATGCTGTCACTTGTGGTTGCATTACTTTAAAATAAGAACTCAGATGATATGAAATGTGCAGAGATTTTCTACTTATACCTGATGCAATAACAAGGTCTAACATTAAATTACCATTTTCCGAATAAATTCCTTATTAGAGATGGGGACAAACCACAGTTCAGTGCTTCGGCCCAATTCAGCACCACACCTGCACAGGTGTTATGCGGGTGCCGCGCACTCCCCTCTTCCTCCTCCACTGTGCACTTGCTCATTCCCCAGGTAATGCATGCTTCCCTCCCCACCTTCTCAGTGCAACTGCCCACTTGCTGATCATTGCACGCATTTCCCTCTTCCACTTCCTCCAGGGGCTGCCCACGCAAAGGCAGCACTGCAGGCTTCCCTGCCCCATCTCCTCGTCTGAGTAAGTGACCGTTGGAAGACACAGAGAAGGGGAGTGCACGAGTGAGCAGTCATGCTGGTGAGGAAAGAAGTGTGCATCACCCAGGGAATGAGCAAGTGCACAGAGAAGGCAGGAGGAGGGAGTGTGCGGCGCCCACATGACGCCTGTGTGGGAGCAGGACTGAACTGGGCTGAACTGCGGTTCATGCTCATCTCTATTCCTTATACTATGCCTGAACACATCACAGCTGATTAAGGTTCGTAATTCTGCCATCAATGCCCTTCAGGGCTTTGGGAATTCCTTATCAATCATTGTCAATTTCTAGTCAACTTATATCCTTATCTGATGGTACACAGTATTTACTCACAAGTTCACTTATTCCCAAATAAATGTACATAGTTTGAAATCCTGTTTGGTGAGTTCCACCTACATACCTTCCACCTACATAAGGGGAATAATGTCAACAGCAGATTGCCACTGACTATACTCTTTTTTTCATTGTGAGGTCCAAGCAACTACATTTCATTGTATGCAAGCCTCATCCCCTCCATAGTTAAAAAAAAAACTTCTTAATCAGCAATAACCTGCTGTTGTCAATGACATCATTTCTGTTGCTTGAGCAAAGCTGTGCAACAGGATTTTAGCCACAGGAATATAAACCCTCGCTGAGGCACTAGATCAAACCTGTGTGAAAACTAATTTCTATTAATTTTCATATCATGTCCATTGACAAAAGCTTTTGTTTAGCTTTGCGGTTAAGATGGTCAGCTAGAAACACAAAGGTAATGTTTCAATAAAAACTGATAAGACACATGTGATTATTGAAGATAAACTCTGTTGGTTGTGTGGAACTAAGCTAAACACAATGGGAAGGGGTTAAGGAAGTAATCCCAAACATTATATTCCAGGATAACAAAAACTTAGTAGAATGACCCAGATGACTGGAATTTGGATGCCGATGGATATCAGTAATGTACTAGTAATGGGAAATTCTTTCTCTTCTTTCTCAAGTTGCACAAAGACAAATTTTGGTTGAATATGATGAAAAAGTTCCCAACTGTTACAGCAGTATGGTAATGGAAACAATTCTTTTGGGAGGTGGTGAGCACTCTAATGCTGGAGACATTCAAGGGAAAATTAGACAACTATCTGTCAGATATCCTTCGATTTGGATTCTTATGTTCAGCAGGGCAGTGGTCCCCAACCTTTTTAATACTAGGGACCGGTTTTCTTGAAGACCATTCTTCCAAGGACTGGTAGGGGGGTGCGGTGGGCTGCCGCCACCAGCGTCTGTGAGGTTGAACTGGATGGTCTTATAGGCCCATTCCTACTCCATTTTTCTTTAATATTATATTAAAAGTATATGAACTCTGTTTTCTGTTCCAGTTATAACTGCTTCTCCACTGTAACGTCAGAGTGGTTCAAATGATAAAGGAATTCTCTCTCTTCATTTATAACCACAACAAAAATTCACACACCATTATATTATAAAAACATCTCTCTGTACGTACAAGAACTGCCACTTCTTACCACATCCAGCACAAATATATTTTGATCATGACCTTTACAAAAAGGGAAGTTCGCTGTTACAACAACAAATCCCCAAAATACATGACACAGAGAGGAAATCGACAGATTACTGTTTGTTTTCTATTGACACATACAAGCGAAAGGCAGAAGACAAATGGCACATCCTGAAGTTCCCACTGGCATTTAATGGGTCCCCACAATAATTTTTGGACACACCCCAGTCTGGATGGTTGGGGCATGCCCAAAACTCACAGAATGGGGCTTGCTAACTGTCAGCAAGAAGTGGCTCCAATTTACACAATTTGCCAAAACTGCAGAGTGGGTCTAAATTTAAATTAAGTGATGGAATAACAATGATGTTCTAGACCTATGGCTGTTGGTAGGAAAAACTATTTGCCATTAAGATGCTCTGACTGACCCATTACAATCTGTTCCATTCCTGGATTTCATCTAAGGAGAAATACTTGTGGTAAGCAGTTACCATTTACTGACTCCACTGACGAGCTCATGAAAGCCAGACAAGACATCAGGATTTTTGTGAGATAATCTGTTTTTCATCTTCTAGGGTGTAAGATTTACATTTAAGGGCTGAGATGTACTGAAATATGAACTGTGAGAATAACTAATTACTATATCACTCTAGAGCAGGGGTCTCCAAACTTTTCAGTGCAAGGGCCACACCATATATGTTCTACATTTTCGAGGGCCGAAGGAGCATGCACACGTACACATGCTCACACTGGCTGAAGGGAACGAATCTGAGCCTGCGAACCTGAGCCTGCAATGTCCGCCTGGATAAAAAGGCAAGTCTGGCTGGATGTGGCCCGCGGGCCATAGTTTGGAGACCCCTGCTCTAGAGGGTTATGTACAGCTTGCCAAAACTTGACTCTCTCAGTGCAGCCTAACACCAAGGGCAAATTCTGGTGCTCATCCTTGGACCTGTGCTTCTTACAGAACTCTTCAGTTTTAGTTCTACTGTTGAACACTGATGTTCAAATATTCAGATAGGGTTTATGGCCCCACTTAGTCCTTGGTCACAAGGACACTAAGAAAAAACACAGGAGGGAAAGCCTGCCCAAATATCCAGTTTTTAAGTTTATTTCTGAAAACACCCAGAGAGGGAGCCAGGCGGACCGCCACTGGCAAATTGTTCCAAAGGCAAGGGGCCACTGCCAAGAAGACCCAGTTTCTTGTTCTTTCCTTCCAGACCTCCAGCCTGGCTAGAACGAGTAACTCTGGCAGAAATGGGCGGGAGAAGGCGCTCTGCCAGATATCGAGGTCCTAAACTGTTTTGGGCTTTATATGCAATCACAAGAACTTTGAAATCAATGCAGAAACGAATGGTCAGCTAATGCAAGGCGGCCAGAGGGGGGGGGAAATATCATGGTACATTTTCACCCCAGTAAGAAGTCTGGCCGCCACATTCTGTACCATCTGAAGTTTCCACGTCAGTCTGAAAGGCAGCCCCACGTAAAGCACATTACAGTAGTCTAATCTTGAGACTACAAGCTCATGGACCAAAGTGGTGAGCGCCCCCACATCAAGATAGGGATGCAGCTGGGCAATCCGCCAAAGGTGGGAATGTGTGGAACCGACCACTGATGACACCAGGGTCTCCATGGTGAGCACCAAACCCAGATGTACACCTAAACTGCAAGCTTCACTCTTAGTGGTAAGAGTCACCCTCCCCCCAAGATAGGGAGTTTCCCAGACCACTGATGTCTGGGAAGTCCACCCAAAGGACCTCCATCTTGCCCAGATTCAGCCTCAGTCCATTGACCTGCATTCACTGCTGAACAGCCTCCAGGCAGCACTCAAGGGATGAAACCCATCGGCCTCCCTCAGTAGGTCATCAAACAGGATGACCAATGCTGTTTCCATGCCGTGGCATGGCCTTAAGCCCAACTGGAATGAATCCAGGACACTGGTTTCATCCAGAAGAGCCTGCAGCTAGCTGATCGGCCACCACCCTCTCAACTACCTTGCTGAGGAAAGAAACATTGGCGATGGGCCTATAATTACCAATATTATCTTCCACCAAGCTCAGTTTCTTCCTAAAGGGCCTAATGAGTGTCTCCTTGAGGGCAAGGGGAATCTTGCCCTCCTGGAGAGACCCATTAATTATTGCCGTAGCCCATTCAGATGTTATAGGCCTGGCTGTTTTGATTAGCCAGGCTGGGCAAGGGTCAAGGGAGGTGGTGGCAGCGCGACAGCGGTCAAGCACTCTTTCCACCATGTCTGACCACCATGCTTTTCACCCTGAACTTTCTACAAAAACAGAAACACTAAATCAGAAATGTTTACTTGCCTCCTCTGATTAGAACACACGTCTAAGCTTAAATCTTGCTAGTGCATCTCAACATGTAGAATTTAGACACTGTCGTAATATCAGAAGCTGCCATGTTCCAAAATGCAGTGTTCCAATCCTGTGCACACTTATTAGGGATTAACTGTGCTGAAGTCTGTATAACTTGGTAAACATGCAAAGAATCAATTTGTAAAGGGACAGTCATGATAGTTTATTGAAGCAAAAATAACCAGCCTTAAAATACAATGGTTTGTTTGTGGGAACACAAGAAACAAAGTGCTAATGTAAGTGGCGCCTTTTCACAGTGCAAGGAGAGTCTAGCACAAGGTATTCCAGTTGCATAAATGTCAAAGTATTTTGCTTGCATAAGCAACACCAGAAGAGATATATCACTTTTCCCACAGATAGTATGCGTTGCCACCCAATCTATTCCAGAGCTCTGGTAGCAGGCATTTTCATTTCACTAACCTACATTTTTGCTTTGTTAGGTTCATACTAGATTTTGACTGTGGCATCTTAAAGGTTAATCGATATACTGTAACCAAGCCTCATCAAATGCAGCCCACTTACTCAAATGCATGAATCCTTGTGCAGAATCAACAAACTATGGGATCCAGCGGCAGATAACACAGATTTTTCTTTCAAAGTGCAAAGCGCAAGTGACAAAATTAGTTTTTCATACCTGGCTAATTGTTGGGAGTTTAGTAAGAAGCATCTGGAAAACTGGTGGTGGAAGAGTCTGCTGTAGCACTTGTAGTAACTGCTGTGGCTGTCCACACACAGCAATGGCATTTGTCAAATGATCGACACCCTTTTCGTACTCTCCTGCATGTACGAAAATTAAATATATCATATTAGCTTTGAAAACAGCTATTTTTTATTTCAAGTTAACAGAATTATTTCAAGCAGTGACTGAAATGTCACTAGGCTACATTGCTTTCCCCATACATGTATCAACAGGAAAAAATATTTTTATTTTTTATATTATATATATATTTATATATACTATTTTACACACACACACACACACACACACAAACTTGTATCCAAAGTACAAGTCACTGCCTTGGAACGTCCAAGCTGCATTTGTTTCCAATTTTGTTAGTAAAACTTGGCTTTGTATTTTATATTTTTCAAAAAGAACTGAAATCTATGTCTGAATGTAGTAATCTCTGTCAGAAAAATAGCATATTTGTTCCTTGATGCAGTTGCTCCTAAGGAAAAAATGAGTAGAAATAATTCTTAATGGCCATTTCAATAATTAATGGCCATTGTAATGACCATCAACTTTGAGACCATATCCTTGGCTTGTCTGGATGGCTACAAATCTACCAAGGAGCTCTGGTAAAATGTACTCATTACTGCTACAACAGAAATTGCCAAGTAAAAGGAAATTTATGGAAGGCCCTCTCATGTGAGGGACTGTTTAGAGAAGACATGGAGTAATTTATATATGGTGAAACTGACCCACATAAGACTTAAGAAAAGCAGGAAGGAACCACTAAAATGTGAGAATGCTTACTTCATTTGGTATGAAGATGAGCAGGCGCTATAGGCAGAATAAAATATTATTTTACAAGGAATTCATACTATTCTTAATTCATTACTTACTATCATATTCCTAAGGCAGGACAGTTAGGGCAATACTATCATGATAAAATTATTGTTTAATAATTCAGAATTCTGACTCTTAAAACAGCAGCTCCAAATTTAATTCAGTTACAATCCTACACACACATGGGTGTAAGCCCTGCTGAACTCTGTGAGGCCTATATCTGAGCAGATATGCACAAAGCTAAGTTATAAAGGGTGAGCAGATTCTCTAGCTTCACGTGAAGATTTCAAGAATTAATATGCTTTCTACTGCAACCCCTTTCACTCCCCAACCCCTTAGCAAAATCTGCAACAACCTTGAGCAAGTAGTTCTTCGCCCAGCTGTATTTCTTCAAGGAAGAATTTCTGTACTGCTTCAGCATCTTTTAAATCAGGCAACTGTAACAACAACAGTTATCCAATCAACCATTTAGAAGTCATAACAACTCCCGCGTACAGAAACATTTTATAAATGCAATACTGAAATATCTGTATGCTTCAAGGTCTGTAATATTAAAATATCTCTGTAAGATGTTTATCTCCATTATTTCATCAATTTACGAGCACATGAATTTGTTAGGGAAATGAACTGCAAATTATAAAACTTTATAACCACAAAATACTGTAATTATTACACTCTTGGATCCAGAGAACTGATTATGAAATCTGGTCCCTAAATGGCATTGGCAGTTAAAAGAATGATTATTGAAAAACAGACAGAAGAACTTTTTTGCATGTAGCCTAAGGAGGTATCATCTTCCATTTGCACTTCTACAGATCAAACCAAAATAATGCATCCTGAAACAACTGCCTAGCATAACAAGTTCAAGCAAAAGGCCATGTTGAAAAGAGTTCTGCATATCATAATAAAAGACAAAAACTGTACTAAATACAACAGGATATTAATACCTTGGAAAGTCCTGCTCTTTCTTTGGCAAGCTTCTGTTTCTTCCTTCCTATGGATTAAATACAGTACATGCTTCGATTTTTGTATTCTACAGCAGTTCTTAGATTTGATAAGGATACTCTGATTTCCAAACTATAATACTGTTTGCCTTCCAAAATATATTTCAGAAGACACTGTGAAATGTCCTACGGAAATGAAACATATGAAGGTTGATGACCAACACCAAATCTGCTCTATATCTGGATAATTAGGAGTTTACAGAGACCTATACTTTTGCATACAGTGGAGTGAATACAAAGGTACTGCAAAATGACATGCTGGATAATTAGGAGTTTACAAAGACCTATACTTTTGCATACAGTGAATACAAAGGTACTGCAAAATGACATCCAATCCTACATGAAAATACATTTCAGAGGCAAAGTTGCTGGGAAACTTCTAAACAGCAGCAAGACCACCAGCAAGTCAGAGGCTTTAGCTGTGTGTGCCAACTGGCCAATTTTTAGCTGCTACACCTATGAGAAGCATTCCCTTACGCCTGTGTGAGAATATCAGGCAACTTGGGGGGGGGGGGTCAGGGAAGGCAGGCTAGATCACTTGTTTTTTACAGGCCCTATTAAACTAGGGGCAGTGTGGCAAAACTAATAAGGCAGCAGAAAGGAATAGTTCTAATGGTATCTCTTGACTTTCCCACAATCAAAATGCATACCAAACACTGGACACTATTAAAATGTGTCATAAATTGCCTTGAAGCTGTAATTACATTCTTTGAACCCTCAAAAAGCTATCACCTCAAATCTCAGAGCACCATAACGCTACAAAAATTAGTCTACATAAGCATGTCTTTTAAAGAAAGGATCAGCTCACTGTTGTTGAAGAGGTGAAATAATGCAGGACAAGGAAAGAATGTCTTGCATTTTGGATAATTCTACATTTTTTTCTTTTGCATTCATCCTTATCCTGGAAGTTATAATCACAACAGTACCAGGAGGGTTTGAGAATGCATTTCATAATGCCCTGAGAAGTCCACTTGCATTGTAAATGTCATGAATGTCTAATTCCACTAGGTATTATCACACAATACACAGCGGCAGACTAGTGTACACCATTAGACTAACCCAAAGCAGAGGCAGCAGGCTCCTAGGCAGTAATAGCTACAGAACCGTGAACACGTTTCTGGAGGAACATGATATATCCAGAATGTATGTATACGTTCACACATTTAGAAAAACGTGCACAGCAGTCCTCATGTACATGTATGCCAACCAAAAGAAAACAGGGGCTGCTGGCCATTTTTAAGGGAAGGGAGCCTGGATGGTGGATGAAACAAAAGCGACCGCCCGTCTCCGGCAAGCAATCAAAATGCCACTGGAAACAAGTAAGTACACAGGCGGCGCGGCTTGCCCTGCAGGCTCTCCCCCCCAAAAAAACTTACCAAACCGGACCCAACGCTGGCAGGGACCCTGGCAAGGGAGGAAGCACAAGGACCCTCAAGGGCAGATCTCCGGCGAGCCTCCTCCACTTCCTGCAGGGATTCCCCCACCCCTTATGTCCCAACCAGGGGCAAGAAGCAGGGGGGAGGAGGGGAGCCAGCCTGCAAGGCGACCTTCGCCCAGCCAACGAGCCGTGGAGGAAGGAAGGGAGGAAGGAAAGAAGGAAGGACGGGGCGAGGAGGGCAAGGCAGGCCAAAGGGGCCCGTCAAGAAGGAAGGGGCGCCCGAAGGGGAAGCAGGGGAACCTCGCAGGCGGCTGGAGGCGCACGAGGGGGGCGGCCGAGAGACTCACGTTCCCGCAGCCGGTTCTTGAAATTGGGGTCGCTCCTCCTCTTGCGGTCAAAGTAGATGCAGTACCCGATGAAGAGAGCCCCACAAACCCCGGCCGCGATGGCGCTGGTCTTGCCCCCCATCATCATCCTGCCTCCGGAGCCCGCCGTACACTTCACAGGCACCTTGGAGCGGGCAGAGCAGAAGAGGAAGGTCCCACCCTCCGCTCCGCACACGCTGAGGCGGGCGGCCAACGTCATCACCCGGCGACGCCAAACCGCATGCTAAACCCGAGGCAAACATTTGTGGCAAACCTTTGAGTGCCTTTCTATTGCGCGTGCGCGGCCGATGGCTTTGCACGCGGCTCCCATTCATCCTATTGCGCCCTCCTAAGCAGTGCGCCTGTGTGAGAAGTTCGCGCCGCGCGCTTCCCCCCCCCCTCACCTCTCTCCGGACGTGGAGTCTGTCACGTTTGTTTTGTAGCTTTGTGGAACCCGAACGTGCGCGTCCGGAATGAAGCTTTTGAACCGAATGGTATTTGCCCGAAACATCCACGGGGCTGCTAATTATAGAAAACCCAGTCTTAAAAAAAGGCGCATGTACAGTGTGATGAGCCTCAGGATGGGAATGCATCTTCCCGTCTCTCAAGAGGCACAAACGCTAAAGCAGCTTGAATCCACGTGTCTGGAAGGGAGTCTCCAGAATGCTACAAAACAGCAGCTTAGTCACGATCTGTATTACCCGGGATTGGCCTCTTATTTTACACTTCGAGAGCGTGGTCAAAAGCAAAAACGTTATTTCCAAAACATTTCCAAACCTAAGAGCCATGTTGTCAAACGAAAACTAACTACCTCGCTGACGTTGCTCAGTAAAGTTCCCGGGGTGGGGATGATACACAGCAGTCCTCCAGACTCGGTTGTTGGAGCTTTGCCGGCAGCATTTATATGTACAACGTAGTGTCGAAGCAATGCAGATACTATATGTATATTCGATACACACAAAACCACTTCAGAGCTGATGTAAAATCTGAAAGTCTTACAGTTATGAAGAAAACTGCAAGCACCTATGCGTACTTCCACTGAACTGAAGTTCTAGGCAAATACTTAAGATACAGGAACAAAAATATGATAAATATCAAAAAGAATGTTTTAAGTTATATTCCAAAACTATGGAATACATATCTAGAATACATCAGTGAAAAATAAAGACATTATAAATTTTAAAAGATTCAAAAAGCCTTCCTGCGAATGGACAGGAAAATGTTAACATTTTAAAAATAAGAATATATAACATGAAAAATATTTTTAGCTTGTAAGTATGTTATTAAACACACACACAAATTGTAGAAAGCTCACCCAGCCAAGACATATTAAAAGTCTAAGGGGAAAATTCCATTTTTGAATCTTGGGTGCTGCTTCTGCTCTGTCCCATGAGATCAACAGGTACAACATGTTGTTTTGATAATGCCAGGGTGCTGTATTGTTTTTGTGTTTCCTACTTCCACATATGAATAACTCTTACAAAATATGTTCAATTCATTTAATCTTTTTTTTTTACTAACAGGTTTTTCCACAGTAGGAAACTGCTATGTGTTCTACTTCAGTTTCCTTAAGTTGGCAACCTTTTGTTTATATACATCTGTGCTCTGAGTAATGTTCAATTTTATGAAAATACTATCCCTTTTTGATACTTAGCAATAACGTAATGCCAAAAATCCTAGAGTTCATGAATTTATACTTTTGCAGAAGACATTACTATTGAATTACAAATGTATCAGTTAAATCAGTGGTTCTTTACCTGGGTGACGAAGTTATCGTCTCCCTCCCAGCGGCAGCCACGGGGAGGGGGTGATGATAACTTCCTCTACGCGGGGGCCATGGAGCCGCTGCCACTGCCGCCATTGAGAAAGTTATCATTGCCCCCTCCCCGCTCCACCGGATCCAGAGCAGCTGGTGCTGGCAGCAGATGTGGTGCTGCTGCTGCCGGCAACACCACTGACGAAGTTATCATTGTCTCCCTCCCAGCGGCAGTGCCACCCCGCAGCCACGGGGAGGGGGTGATGATAACTTCCTCAATGGTTCAAGTGGACGTTTCTTTCAAAAAGGTTAAGAACCACTGAGTTAAACCACAAATTACATCACTTTGTTTACTTTACACTATAGAACTGTCCCACAATGAATTACTTCAAAGCAGTGTTAAATTAGTAACTGTTCCCAGATTTAATTGAAAAAAGGCAGATTGTTTCAAAAACTGTAACCTAATGTAAACTATTGCTTCAAGAAGCACTTTTGAACCATACTTTCACTTGTTATTATTATTATTTATTTTTAACAGCTATGGATAGGGTAAGGGGTACAAAAGGTAGAGGGGGGTATGGGGGAAACAGAGGGGGAAGAACACAAAATATACTCTCATCCAATCTGTTCATGTTGCGATATCAAGTTGACTTTTCGCCTTTCTACAATTTGATTGCCCTCCAGGTTTCAACTTACAGTTCCATTGTAGTTTAATTCTATGTTATTCAAGCACTATCTGGTGACTGAAGCCATTTATATAATAAATCTCATCGTTCAGTTGCCTTTTGTATTGGACAGTCTTTCAACACTTCTGATAGAATATCCATTTCTGCCGCTTCCCATATCTTCTCAATGAGTTCCTCTTGTTTCGGTATCTCTAATTTCTTCCAATTCTTAGCATAAAGAATTCTGGCTCTAGTGACTATATATATAATTAGGTAGTTCTTTGTCTTATCTATGTTATCTGGTATAATGCTCAAAAAACAATTCCGGGGTTAGTGGAACATTACAAAGCAGCATTTTTTGTAACAGAGAATGTGCTGTTGTTGTTTAGTCGTGTCCGACTCTTCATGACTCCATGGACCAGAGCACGCCAGGCCCTCCTGTCTTCCACTGCCTCCCGGAGTTGGGTCAAATTCATGTTGGTAGCTTCGAGGGCACAGTCCAACCATCTCGTCCTGTTGTCCCCTTCTCCATTTGCCTTCACTCTTTCCCAACATCAGGGTCTTTTCCAGGGAGTCTTGTCTTCCCATGAGAAGACCAAAGTATTGGAGCCTCAGCTTCAGGATCTGTCCTTCCAGTGAGCACTTAGGGTTGATTTCTTTCAAAATGGATAGGTTTGTTCTCTTTGCAGTCCAGGGGACTCTCAAGAGTCTCCTCCAGCACCACAAGTCAAAAGCATCAATTCTTAGGCCGTCTGTATATAACAAGAGAATGTACTGCTATCCAATACTGTTTCACTACTCTACCAGTCCACCACATATGGTAAAAGCTTCCCTCTTGTGCTTCACACTTCCAACAAACATTTGACACCTCTGTATAAATCTTTGAATTTTTTTCGGCGTCATAGTCCACCTATAAAACATATATGTTCTCCTTGAAATTTATCAATTCTGTGAGCTTTATGTTACGTATTTTTCCATATTTGCAACCATTGATCAATATCAGTATTATGTTCTATATTTTGTGCCCACCTAATCATACATTCTTTTACCATCTCATCTTGCATTTTAGTTTCAAGCAAATAATCATACATTTTCTTAATTACTTTATCATTTCAGCCCAGCAGAAATTTATTGAATATCGTTTGGTCTGTGTAAAAGCCCTTTATCTTTTCTATACCTGGGTTCCACTTGTGCTCTGGACCACCAGTCTAGATATGTTTTGTGTTTCTAACTCTTCTTTGGACCTTAACTCACAATCATTTTTAATAGATCTTGGTATCTTAAAAGTTTCGCTTCTGTCATGAGGTTGTGTAAAGGCCTCTATGGGTAATACCCAGCCTGGTGTTTTTTGGTAAATCTGTTGGACATTTTTCCAGGTCCCTAGTAGGGCTCTTATCATATGCAAGTTGAACCTTCTCTGCTCTTTATTTTTTTATGCCATAGAAAAGCATGCCAACCTAACTGTAAATCATGTCCTTCCAACTTGAGTAGTCTATCATTATCTAAAGTTATCCATTCCTTTATCCAGACACAGGCTTTATAATACAATATCCAGTCTGGAAGACCAAAACCTGCTCTTTGTTTCGCACCATGCATTACTTTGATTTCAATTCTTGATTTTTCACCTTGCTACATAAATCTCAGGATTATCTTGTTAAGTTCTTGAAATATTCACTGTTTTAATATTATGGGAATTGCCTGAAATAATAAAATTTTAGGTAGAACATTAATTTTGATGGTTGCTGTTCTTCCCATCAACGATAGCTGTAATTTGTCCCATCTCTCCAAGCTAATCGGTATCTCTTTAATCAACTTCATATAATTGTTTTTGAATAATATACTCGTTTTCTTTGTGATTTGAATCCCTAAGTATCTGGATACTTTCACTTTTAATGTACCTCCTAAGGATGTTTTTGCTGCTCTCCAGCACCCTACAAACTTTCAAATAACAACTAATAGGCTAGCAAAATTGTTACAGGGTACTGAACTTCCTTAGTGTGGTTTTCATCTTAATAGGATGTACTAATCTAGTTAAATCTCTTAAACCATGGAGACAGATATATAAAAATACGAACAAATGTTTGTGAAATAAAATTTATTTAAAAACAAGTTCAAAATGTATAGTGTAAACATTTCATTTTGGATTTCTCTGTTTCTTCCTTGTGTTGTTTTTTGATTTTGAATTTTTGCTCTTTTTCATTGGGACTGCTTTTTCACCAGCAAAAGAACTACTGGAAAATCGTTTTTCATTTTTCACTGAAAAAGCCTTTGCATATTTATGTCCTATAAGCTTTTTTACATTCTTGTCCGAGCTTTTCTCTTGCATTTTCAGTTTCTCAACACAGCGTTGCACTCTTAGCTTTCTTCCTTTCAGTTCAGAGTTGTTTAGTTTTAGTGCAAGGTGTACTGCATCTGTAGTCTTCAACAAAAATGAAATGTTAAAAATGGCGACATCTACAATTAAAAGTTCATTTTATATTTTAGCTCTTCGAATTCATTTATAGCCTGCCTTTCAACTGACTCACAAGCACTAAAGGAACAAAATCTTACATAATATAAACTATAAATATCACAATAAAACATAACGGCTTACAAAAAATGTCCTATTAAAAGTCATGCCATAACACCCAGGTTAAAAGAAACCATAGCAGGGTCTTTATTTTATATATTCATATTTAAAATATATTTCTACATCTATGCATGATGAATATTTTATTTTTTATTTATTTATTAACTACTCATAAATCCAGACATTTCAAAGAGAAATATTTTCTATCAGTAATCACGTTGTTGGAGACTACTTACTCTGAGTAATGGCATAGATGTTTTCTGTTATACAGTAGTCATGTTACTCACAGTGACAACTGTTCTTCCTAGGGGAGGGATGTCCAGATATGACAACACCATTTAGCAGAATTTAGGTTTGGACGTTTCTATCAATGACTGGCCAAAGTCCTCTTGCATAGCTATGTAAATGGCCTAACTTTGGAAGGCAAATTGCTTAAAGTTAAGAAATGACTATCAGCACTTTCAATTGCATGTCAAGCCACACAACTCAGTATGTAACATATCTCAGTATGTTACAATTTCTTAAGGCAATTCACCTCCAAAACTAGCATTGTTTGTGTTATGCCACCATTTCTGGGGACGAGGATTTGGGCCACTGAGTTAATAACTACAGGGATCAAAATCCTTGAAGCAAACCGCAGGCATAAAGGCAATTGCACAATCTTTTTTCTTGTTGTCCATCAAGGAGCCAAGGACATGTTATTGTTTTTCCAACTGAAAGAGGCAGGAACAGCAGCATGTTTTCTTGCACAATTGTGCTAAGGAATTATTACAGAATTCTGCTCAGTTAATTTAAAACTTTTAATCCTGCTACTATATTGCTGCCAAGTGAGTATACAACAGTGGCATCTTCAACTGCAACACACATTCAAAGTATGAAACAGCATATAGGCATACGGTGCCATATCAACATTTCTGTCATCTCACGGTGATTAGCTACTAGCATATTATTATAATAAATAAACACAGCATACCTCAAACAGCACATAGCCAAACCCTTTGCCAATGCCCGTGTTCCGATCTCTCACAATTCGTACACCTGTTACATCACCACAATCAGAAAAATGGTTTCTTACAGTATCATCATCAATATCTGTAATGAAACAATATGGCAATAAAGCACATTGGTCCTGAAGCATAACGGTTTTAGGTACATGGTTGTTTTCATTTAACAACTAAAATAGAAGATAAGTTTACCAACTGCAATAGCTACTTTATCTCTGTGACCCAGCATATTGTTAGTTTGTGGAACTCCTTGCCACAGGATGTAGAGATGGCATCTGGCCTAGATTCCTTTAAAAGGGGATTGGACAGATTCCTGGAGGAAAAGTCCATTGTAGGTTACAAGCCATGATGGAGATGTATAATCCCCAGGCTTCAAAGGAAGGTACCTCCAAATGCCAGATGCAGGGGAGGAGTACCAGCAGACAGGTATGTAGTTGTCTTGTGTGCTCCCAGAGGCATCTGGTGGGACCAACTGTGAAATACAGGAAGCTGGACTAGATGGGCCCTTGGCCTGACCCAGCAGGGCTCTTATTTAATTTTAATGTTCTTCTTATGTTCTTATGAACTTATACAAAAACATGGCCACAATCATATGTAACGCCAAACTTACTGTTAGTTAATAAGATTCTGTTCATATAAAGCACTGAAAATGGTGCTTTCTTTTGCTCCTTTGTAAAGTGGCTGGCCTTTCACAAATAACTGCAAAAAAAGGTAGTGTTTTTGACTACGAACAAAGATAGTACAAAAATTCAGTGGCAACTGCAAGAATGTTTTGACTGTAAGTTATATGATCTTTTAAGCATATTGGCAGAGAATGCAAACAGAGTTTCTCACTAGAATCGAAAAATGTTTCTTCTCATTAAAAGCACTGTGGTGGGATAATGCCTATGAATATATTTTGGAAATGACCCATACATAGTAACACATGTCAATAGTATTCAAGTGAATTAGATAGTTTATGCTTCATTACATGCTTAGTACGTTCAGAATAGACTGATGATGATTGGAAGCAAAAGAACGTTTATTTTTTATGGGTAGAATCCCAGCAAAGAAATAGTCAAAGAAATAATATAAATAAGACTAAGCAAGTAGAAGCATATTGCTTAAAGTGAAATGAAGTACAGTGGTGCCCCACTAGACACTTACCTTGGTAGACGACGAAATCGCTTCACAATGAGTATTTTGCAATTGCTATTGTGATCGTAAAATGGTGTTTAGATGGGGGAAATCCGCCTGACGATGATCAGTTCCCTGCTTCGGGGACCAATTTTTCGCTTGATGACGATCAAAACAGCTGATCGTCAGGTTTCAAAATGGCCACCCGCTGTTTCAAAATGGCTCCCCGCTGTGTTTCCTCGCTTTACAGGCACTGGAAAAAGGCCGCCCTATGGAGGATCTTCGCTTTACGATGAGGTATTTCGCCCTTTGGAACGCATTGAGCCATTTTCAATGCATTTCAATGGGCTTTTTACTTTCGCTTGACGATGATTTCGTTCTACAGCAATTTTGCTGGAATGGATTATCGTCATCAAGTGGGGCACCACTGTACACTGATGGTACTGATTACAAAACTGAATTAAAAAGGAATGCCTAGACAAGTATATAGGAGAGAAAAAGCAGTATGAACCACAACTAAAGAATTTAGTTTAATTCTATTAGGTAGTAAACTTATTTTTAGAATTGCTGATGTTTGTCAATGATATATAATTGCTTACGATTAGTAATTTTATTCTTTACACTTTAATATGTGGCTAAAATTTCTTCTTCTGGCTTAATTTTTTTATTCACAGTTTTAAAAATTTTTGGAGGGATCATTTTCTCATATATGAAATATAGATTAAACAAAAACATGTAAATAGTACCAGCCTAGCTGTTTTCTACTCAACCTTCTACTCATAAATGGTAGAATTATAAAAAGTGAACAGAGAAATCTACTGCATTTTTCCATCTATAAGATGCTACTTTTTCCTAAAATCATTACCCTAAAAATTGAGAGGTGTTTTTTACACAGAAGTAAGCTGAGATACCTAAGAAGAGAACAAAATGGCACACACCTTGCCTCCGTAAACAGACTCCCTTCAGCCACAAGGCTGAGTTTCCTACAGACTTAGCATCTTCCAATCGGGAGCCCTATGGAACTGATGTCAGCTAACCCTGAACAAACTAATTGGAATACATAGGCTCAAGATTCAACAGAGACAAAATGTCTGATGTTCTGAGCTCAGAGGCTGAGTCCTCAACACTACATTTTCTTAATTTTGGGGTTAAAAATTTGTCTTATAAATGGGGGGGTGTTATAAATGGAAAAATAAGGTATTTCCTCACAAGTGATATACAACTTAGATTTTGCCCAGAAGAGGGCCATCTTGGATTCTGTTGTTAATTTGTGTCTTAGAGAGAGAGAGTGAGAGAGAGAGAGTTTATTTTTTATATTTTGTGTAAAGCACCCAGTGTAGTCATGTTCTAGATGGGTGGTATATAAGTTTAATAAAATAAACATAAAATAAAATATTTCTACAAGTAGGTCCAGATGAATTTTCATTTTAAAGGAAATATCTGAGTTTCATGCAAATAACAAAACCTCATATGGTGCAGAATGTCTGGATCCATATGCTTTTTCTGATCCATTAGTGTCTGCATGTCACAGGCTGCACAGTAGTACTAGAGAAGAGGTAAAGTGACAGACCCAATGCAATAAAGAAAAGGATTCTAGACATTTAGTTTGCCTATCCGCCACCCTGGCTTGTTCTTACACAGGCAATGCTGAAGGATGATGGGAGCTGCAGTCTAGCAACATCTGTGGAAGGCTATGTTTTCTCCATATTACCGCTAAAATAAAATCTAGTCAACTGCTAAACAAATAAACCAGCATTTTAAAGAATAACTTTTTGCAGATGACAAATCACGAATTGGGGAAAGCCAAACTGCTCAAATAAGGTTATGCATGAAATACTTACTATATATGTGTTAATCAACCCTATATTTTCTTAGTTAACACAAGATATAATGAATATAATCTAACAGCTTGTAGTAACACCCACAATCCTTTTATTTGTGTGATAGTTTTTTTAAATGGATAAATTTAACTTGTAACTTTTTAGAAGTAAAACTAGAATTAGTGAAAACTAGAAAAATTTGAGTCCTCTAAAACAATCAGCAAGAGAAGCTGTTCTGCTAAGCTATTTATATTTGTTTCATCAAAAGAGAATGAAATTTCATCAAACACTTACCATAAGGGAGATTTCCTACAAATATAGATCTCTTGTTATCATGCTGTGAAATAAGCAAACAAGAACATAATGAATAATTTAGTGAAGGAGCAGGTAAAATGTTTGTTCTTCAATAGTATTTGTTACTTACACAAGTAGATTTTGAAGCAAGGTCAACTCTTATGTGGAATCCACTGACAAATTCTGTTCCATTACTATTAAAGCCATAACAAGAAATCAAGAGAATGAAATGATTAATTACCAGCACAGGTAGTTTAATCATAGACTTACATCAGTAAAGGTATTTACAGGTAAGGATTGATATAATTTTACTTATTACGATTAATATAATTAAATGTTTAGCCACAAACTTTAAACAATTAAACAAAAGTAAAAACTTAGAAATACCGTTTTAAGGCATTATTAGCTGCATACTCCTCCTTGAAAACAACATAAGCATTGACATACTTCATATTAGGATGCACTTTTCGCCTGAAATTTAAAAAAAAAAACAGATTACTACAGTACTTACTTAATTGAAAATTACATTTAAACATTTGTAAGACTAGCCATAAAAGGCTTTTGAATATACAGCACAATGCCTCAACACAGATGGAAATGCTTCTAATGAGACTTTCTAAAGAGCTGCCCAATTTTATAACTTCTTGATCCCACTCAAAATATGCGTATGATCAGTTTGATATCTGTGCATTTGTATGTTCTCCCGTCCCAAGTACAATTTTGCTATGCACTAATGGGGAAAGAGTCCCTCTCACAGAACAACTGGGAAACACTGGAGGGAGGAGGCAGTGTGGCATTTATTTGCCCTAAAAGAACTGCTCATACAGTTCTTTTATGTTTTATGTGATAATAAGATTTGTGTAGAAAATCAGTTCTACATTTTCCAGCTAGGATGCTGAAGCTGCTTTCCTGGAACTCCTTAACTACAATGTAAATCATGACTTGTTGTTCTGCTGTTTGTACTGATGTATAATTTGCAACTTTAGTTCTCCCTTTGATGCAGAGCGGTTGAAATGGCCAGCAAATTGATTGCCATCAAACTGCACTGCTATAGAGTCATCAGTAGATTGTTACATAATTTTTTGTTATGTACACTACTGGTAGAAATCCTGTTCTCTAATTTATGTCTATGGAAAGGTGATGATGTCATGGGCAGGACACAATTTTTTAATAAATAAAAACCACCTATTTGTAAAACTGCTGCAGTTGAATGACATTACCAGCAGGAGGACATTTTTGGTAGTTAAAAACTTCCATCTTCTATGGCAGTGGTCCCCAACCTTGGGCCTCCAGATGTTTTTGGACTACAACTCCCAGAAGCCTTCACCACCACCTCTGCTGGCCAGGATTTCTGGGAGCTGAAGTCCAAGAACATCTGGAGGCCCAAGGTTGGGGACCACTGTTCTATGGAAACTTCTACAGCTTGCACACAATGAAAGGGATTACACAGAGTCAAAAAAGCCATAGAACAATAAGTAGCATGTTTTTAATTACTGAATATTGCCCCCACCCATGACATCACCATCCTTCTGCTATAAAAATAGGTTTTTTTAATTATGCCAAAAAAGAATGTAAGACCTAAAAGACATTTAAGATATGAAGTTCAAAGGCAGTTTTCCCCCTCCCCAAAATGAAGCACACAATTTAATTAACTTACTTTATGGCTGCCAATTTTTTGGACAGAGAATCCTCTGCTGGAATCTTTAAAAAGAAAAAACAAGTATGCTGTTTGGTGTGCCTTTTCCTGCTGTGTAACATTTAAAAAATATTTTGGATTTGTTTTTTAAAAATACCGTTAGTGAATCAAGTCAAAATCGGAGAGCTCTAGGGCACGTATGTGCTTTTCTGCTCCTTTCTCTGTTGCTACTGCACCCCTGTCCCACTGAGCATATCTCATAGTGACAACACTGTTCTTGCAACTTATTGTGACATGAAATAAGCAGTAAATTTGTAATGAGAAAGTCTGTTTTCAGGCAACTGAAATGGGGGCTAGTTCAGGGTCCTGGAATAAAAATCACGTGGATAAGTAGAAAAGAGTTGTTTGGGAATGTAATGAAGCAGTAATTGTATTTAATGGTACACAGTACAGATAAGCAATCTGCTGTTCTCCAGATGTTTTTTATTATAACCTCCACACTGACCACTGGTCTTCCTTTCTGGACTGAAGGTAGTTGGAGTAAAATACTTTGGAGGATGTCAGGTTGCCCATGCTTTGTATACAGCAGCCCCTCTTCATTTACAGCCAAACTGGTTCTCTGACAAATGCTGCCAAGTGAGCCACTGGACATCAAATCCTATCTTCCCCTTACTCTCCAGGTCAGGTTTGTTACTTGGAGAATTCTCAGACCTTATCAAAGCAGCCGCTGCCATCTTTTCACTTCTTCACGCCTCACCTCTTTATCTTGCTAGCTGGACATTCCACTTCAAGCTCTGCGGTCACCTAGCTGGCTGGCATGGCACTATCCTGTGGCCCCTGCTGTCTTTTCTCCCCTTGCTAATGAGCTTGGTGAGCTCAATGTGACCATTTACAGTGATGGTCACAGTGGTTGTAAAAGTGAGTTTTGGATACTGGGAGAAAATTATTAGATAATCTTGGAATGGTTATAAAAGCAGGGAGTTATAAAGCAAGCTGTTGTAACTCTGGGGTCCCCTGTAATTTACTGTCAAGTGTGCAGGTCTATGCACATTTAGCATGCTAGTACAGTGGTGCCTCGCTTAGCGATGTTAATTCGTTCCGAAAAAATCGCTGCTAAGCGATTTCATCGCTAAGCGAAACGCGGTTTCCCATTGAAATGCATTGAAAACCGGATAATCGGTTCCAATAGGAACAAACTGCCGTCCTTAAGTGAAAATCGCCATAGGAAACATCATTAAAGCGAAACGCGGTTCCCCAATTGAAATGCATTGAAACCTATTCAATGCATCTCAATGGGGGGGGGGGAATACTGTATTAGGGGTCTTGTTGTGTGCAAGTTGGGGGACAAGATGCAACCTTGCTAGTGCACTGGCAACTCTATATGAGCCCACAGGAACAGTAAAAAAGGGGTCGGTGATTTCTCTTAAACTAAGGACCACTTGAGAGATCGACTTGAGAGTTCAGTTTTCCCTTCGCTGCCAGGACACAAACTCAGCGTTAAACAACGGATTCCCTTACCAACACGTGGGGGGGGGGAGAAAGAGAAGGCTATTTCCTCTCACAAAGCAGCCGAGGGTGGGGCTCTGCGCACTGAGGACTCGGCGGCCCATCCCCCCCCAAGGCAGAAACCCCCCTTCCCTCAACAAAGAAAGGGGAGGTACGGGCCTCCTCCCTAGACACACACGCATACACACACACACTCCAACTTTTTCAGAGATGGAGCCGCTCCTAGGCGCAGCTAAGAGAGAGACTGTTTTGCAGCCACTGTCCTTTTTTTAAAAAGGCGGCCCCACCCCACCCGAGGAGCACTTGTGGACTTTGCACACTTCCTTCAGGGCCGCCAAAAAGGCTGAGCCCTCCTTTCAAACAAACAATCCAAGCAAGCAAAAAACCCACAAAACGCCCCCCTTCAGGTTCCTCAGGAGCAAATCCAAGCCTCTGGAGAGAGAGAGACCCGGCAGCCTGAGAGGGGCGAGCAGGTCCGAAAAAGTCATCGCTAAGTGATTTCGTTGCTAAATGGAGTGCCCGTTAAGCGAGGCACCACTGTACTAAACTCAATTGTAGGATCTTTACAGGGACATAATGATATTGCTAACAGGTGCTGGATTATGGAGAAAGCCAGAGAGTTCCAGAAAAGTATCTACTTCTGCTTCATTGACTACACAAAAGCCTTTGACTTGTGGACCATAACAAACTATGGCAAGTCCTTAAAGAAATGGGAGTTCCTGACCACCTTATCTATCTCCTGAGAAATCTATATGTGGGACAGGAAGCAACAGTTAGAACTGGATATGGAAAAACTGGCTGGTTCAAAATTGGGAAAGGAGTACAACAAGGCTGTATATTGTCCCCCTGCTTATTTAACTTATATGCAGAACACATCATGCGAAAAGCAGGACTGGATGAATCTCAAGCCGGAATTAAGATTGCTGGAAGAAATATCAACAACCTCCGATATGCAGATGATACCACTCTGATGGCAGAAAGTGAGGAGGCACTAAAGAACCTCTTAATGAGGGTAAAAGAGGAGAGCACCAAAATGGTATGAAGCTGAGCATCAAAAAAACTAAGATCATGGCCACTGGTCCCATCACCCCTTGGCAAGTAGAAGGGGAAGATATGGAGGCAGGGACAGATTTTACTTTCTTAGGCTCCATGATCACTGCAGATGGGGACAGCAGCCACAAAATTAAAAGACGCCTGCTTCTTGGGAGCAAACCAATGACAAACCTAGACAGCATCTTAAAAAGCAGAGACATCACCTTGCTGACAAAGGTCCACATGGTAAAAGCTAAGGTTTTTTCAGTAGCGATTTATGGAAGTGAGAGCTGGACCATAAAGGCTGACCACTGAAGAATTGATGCTTTTGAATTGTGGTGCTGGAGGAGACTCTTCAGAGTCCCCTAGACTGCAAACAGAACAAAACTATTCATTTTGAAGGAAATCAACCCTGAGTGCTCACTGGAAGGACAGATCCTGAAGCTAAGGCTCTGATACTTTGGCCATTTCATGAGAAGAGAAGACTCCCTGGAAAGGACCCTGATGTTAGGAAAGTGTGAAGGCAAGAGGAGAAGGGAACAAAGGATGAGATGGTTGGACAGTGTTATCGAAGTGACCAACATGAATTTGACCCAACTCCGGGAGGCAGTGGAACAGAGGAGGGCCTGGCGTTCTCTGGTCCATGGGATCACAAAGAGTCGGACACGACTTAACAACTAAACAACAACAATGATATGCTGAATTATCTGATGTATTTAATTGCTTTCAGTAACTGTTAAATTGTACTGATCCTGCAAATTTTGCTGAACCTTGGTTAAGTAATGATAATGGTTAGAGAAATGCTAAGCAACTCATTTTTAAAAGGTGAAAACATCAGTATCATTTATGCTTGTCATGTTGCAGATGTATTTTTCCAATATACAGTAGTCTGAATATCAGACACTGATTTCCTATGCAATCATTGGCTCTCAGCCAATAAACAAATATTTGATGTTCTATCGACTGCACATTTGTAAAGCCAGGTAAACACACCAGATGATCAACAGATCAGGACCTTGGCAGTTTTTCTTTCCTATGTAGTGTTCTCCTTATCTGGGAGACCCACCTTCTTTATTTAGGCACTAAGTAAATGTAATACAATCTCACATCAGGCAAAAACCTTTATATACTTAATTAAGTCTCATTCCTGAAAGTATTTATTAGGATGGAAAGCCATCTGACCTCAATGGGACATGGCTTCAAGCAGATATGGGTGACAGAGTTCTTGCCAAACATACCTCAAAATGGTGAATATTCTTCAGCAGCTTCTATTGAGCATTTCTCCCAATTTAAAACTACATTTTCCCCACAAAAAATAGCTAGCCACAAGATAGCATGATGCACCAATCCCTGCAAAGGGAAAACCATATGAAACTAGCAGCACATTGGCAAAAGCTGAAGCAACTCTTCCACGTGGGCTAACAGACTGCCACTATCCAGTGACCAGAGTCTCTTTCTCAGTTGTGCAGCTGATGTAATAAAAATTAACAACATACATACCAAAGAGCGAAAACGAATGGATTCTATTTGTCCGTATTCTTTGAAAAAGGTCTTCAGCATCTACATTCAAATAGATTTTTGGTTTAATTTGTAATGCAAATATGACTGACACAGAATAAGCAATAAACTAAACGAGGTAAATGAAACTTCAGAATCCCCACATACATTTTAATTGGATTACAATATAAAGATAGAAAAGAGGAGTTTTCCCCCCCAGTAATTTAGTGTTTTTTCACTTTTTATTTAGTGGAGAGTTTTTTCACTGTGGGCAGGCCTATTGCTAAGTTATATCAGCAGAAAGGAAATGCCATAACTCAAAATAGCAAACTGATGCTAATTAATATGCTCCCTCATGGATTCCTCAGTGCATGTTAGTCAAGAGGCTTGACATCTGAACTGGAATCCAATCCAAGTCTTGTTAATTCAGCATTTGCCACAGCAAGTTACACTATCTCCCTTCTGCCAGCGTAACTACACAATGACTGAAAACTTGCTGCACAGCTCTGCATGATAACGTTGTCATATCAGCAGCAGCGGCAAATTACCAATGATTAAAGGCTTCCTTTGTGAATTTTAGGGTGTGCATATATAAGTTACATGCACTCTGAAATTAATTTAATGAGCACTAATTTGCTCCTGATGATTTAATCTCTGTTGTACACACATAATTCCACAACAAGATTTCAGCCAATAGGATTTTGGTCTTTACCTCTTTATTTAAAAGAGAAATAACCAGAAAACCTGGCTCCTCCAAACTAAAATTATATTTCTTTATCATAAAGAAAGAGGAAAAACAATGGTTGAAATCCTGTTGCTTAATGTTACGAGAATAGGCCTTTTGAATCAGTGATGATTTTATGGGTCTACTCCTCCATGAATTCCTCCAATTCAATGGCCTACTCCAGTTGTAACCTATTATGCCAAACAACAGGATTTCAGCCTATATGATGTAAATTCATCAATTAGCACACCAAAGCTCACGTTTAGATGCAATTTATATTCGTAAACACTCCTTTTAAATACATCATTCAAAATAAAATCCATTGAAAGTCAAAGGAGATTTATGTCAGTGAGCTAGAGCACTGAAGTGTTCAGAGGACAGGATCTCTGACCACATCTAATATCTCCATTCAACCACAAGGCATGCTGAGTAATCTGAGTGACTCACGACATCAGACTGACTTACAAGGTTGTTGTAAAACTGATGACTAGAATGGGGGCAGAAATGACACCTTGAACTCCTTGGAGGACAGGAAGTCTATAGATGTGTTCAATAAATAAAAATACATCCTAGAAAATGTGCTGGAACCATGGACACAAACAAATGTAGTCTGGGCTATTCACTAAACTCACCCACCTGTGCTGTACAACTAACAGGTAAATTCCCCACAAAAAGAGTCCTCTTATTCTTAAGCGCTTCCTCCACGGGGTTGACTTGTTTCTTCTTTTGCTTTACTCCAGCATCTTCATCTGAAGCTGAAAGGCACTTAGCAATCAACTGAGAATGTCTGTTCTTCAACTTCTGTTTGATCTGCGCTTCTTTTTCCTCCTCCTCTTCATCAGCTTGTTCCAAAGCATATTCCCTTGATGAACAGTGGAACATTGCAACCAAGTGGTTACCCAATGAGGTTTTCTTACAGTCACAAAAAGTCACATGGCTACTGTGCCCTAGAGCCGTTGTTATGGTTTCTAAAGCTGCCTTAGCCCCCTGTCATTTCCTGTGCTACAAAAATACTCTCCTCTGTGGAAGAACAGCACTTCTAGGAAGTATGAATGGAGATGTAAAGTTTTCAAAAACATTGAAGCCCTTCCGCCTTTTTCTAGAAAAAAAGATAACTTCGGGAAAAGTCGAAATGTATCGAACATTTATTTCCATATCAACCCTACACTTTTTTTACTTCTCTACCAACATAAATTTTTTCCACATGAGTAAAACCTTGTCCTAAAAGCATTTTAGTCATTCCAAAGGATAAAACATTTAATCTCAGTATTTTTCCTCCATTCCCTAAGTTTCCATTTTTTTTCCAGTGAACATTTAATCTTGGGAGAAAAAAGCAGAACCCCCACGCCCGTTCTTCTAGGGCTTCTCTTAACTTTCACAGCTCTACGTGCATCTCTCCTATAAAACAAAGCATGAGGTCTACACCTTGCATTAATAGAAAACGTGGAGTTTCATCCAAAAATCAGAAATGTTTTGCCCCCTCCAAATCAGAAGTAGCGTAATTATACATGTGGAGGAGAGCTAGCTGTAGCCCCGACAAGAGATAAGAGCTAGAAAATGGGACCCAGAGTTCGCCAATTCCACTTTATATCTAATCACTTAAAAATCAATCAATTTCTAGAAATGGATAGAAATAATTATATTACTGGAAATAACTTTATTAACAGTACGCAGCGTGAACTTTCAGGGATTACAATCCACTTCTTCAGACACAGTATCTGTAGCTCTCTTTAGCAGCTAATGCTGAAGTTAACAAGTTAGAAGCATTTCATTTACCTTTTTACCACCCTTTCCTCTCCTAGAGAGAGATCTTTTCTGTTTGCTTTCTTCAGTTTTTTCAAAGACTCTGTTTTAGGAGATGTACTGTGAACATCTATTGCTACTTCCTCTTCTATATGCTTGCGTTTCTTACTTTCCTGTGTGGAAGGAAAAGGCAAATTTTAAACAGTTTTCTAGAATAGGACCAAAAGTGAAGAAAAAATCCCACCTCTCCCCCAGTAGCAATAAAATAATGATAATTTTGGATTAATTTCCCTCTTTCTCTCCCACCAAAACACTTCATATTCCTATAATTCAGCCTTAAAGAAACACGTTTTTTTAGTTTTATTGAAAACTATTTCTAAAATATGTTCATAACCATTATTCAGGATAAATTTATCCTTTACATGTTATCATTAATATAAATTAGAGTATGAAATAACCTGAGAGCAAAAGAAAGAACAACAACAACAACAACAACAACAACAACAACAACAACAACAACAACAACAACAACAACAACAACAACAACAACAACAACAACAACAACAACCCTAGGGGAGAGAAGCTGGTAAAGATGAAGAGAATAAGGCTGGACTTCAGAGCAAAACTCACAACCTAAATAAAACTTGAAAGGAGAAGGACTAAAAGAGAACAGTAGCGACAAAGTGTCTCTGAAGGAAATACAGAGGTTTCAGTAAATCACCATTTGAAAATCTGAAGCCAGAGTCTTCCCTGTGTGGTTTAGATATAGGAAATTTTCCTCTTCATATAGAAGTTCACCACTGAGGCTGGGAAGATCAGATCAAAGAAGGAGAACAAGGCTGCACCTGAGAGAAGAATTCTGTCTCAAACCTCGTCCTAGTCTGTGCGTGCAGGCTTAGATGGAAAACAGGAGGAGGTGGTCCCCTGATTTTAAAGATTTGATCAACAAAACAAAGACAACTCCTATATTACTTGCTAACTATACCAAGTATAAGTAAGGTAGAATATCTGAAGTTATTATGTTTTACCTTTCAATGTATTATCCTACAATTTTCAAATTAGCCCCATGTTACAATGAATATTTTCTGGGTTCCTGGAAAGTGAAATTTAAAAACTAAGGAAATACAGTGCAATGCATTTACTGTATTATATCTTGGCAAACGTGGTGACACAAGAAGGGGATTATTGAAGCACCAGAGTTTTCCAAAGACATGGCTAAGGAAATGATGGATACGTTTATGTCAGATGCATCCTTATGCTACAGTGGTAAGGTATAAATAAGATCAAAAACACAATGGATATGCTATTAGAAAAGTCAAGGTTATATTTATCAAGAATCCTTGTAAGAACGTATTTTCATGAAGTAGGAAAAAATGACTGTGGTTAAAATGTTGTTCTCACTGACTAGATGGCACAGGTTGAACATTAATCACCAGCACACAGGACTGCTGAAGGCTTGTGTATAATACTTGTTGGAGACAAGAACTGTCACTGCCCAAGCGTTACTAATGACAGCTAACAAATACACTGCAATAGCACCGGTGGGTCTTGTGGTCTGTCAAGAAAGCGAAAATAATTATAAAGATTTGATGGCACTCAAGACTTATCAGCATTGTGCAGCTGCTGTTTTTGAAGCTTTCTTAATCGTGGCTGCACCATCGTAAAGGATGTCTATTCTGCTCAAACATCAGAAGTTTTAAAGAAGAACACAGTCTGGAAAATAATGATGCTATTATCCTCCTTACGTTAACAAAAGTATCCGTTCGTTTTCAGACTCTGCAACATGAATGCGAACAACAGATAAACCCTAGATTCATTTACATCTTGTCAAGCCACTGAGGTATTACTGAGCCGTAACTGATGCATACACTGTAGGCCAAGTACTGGCATTCAAAATATGAGCATGTTGAGAGAGCCAACCGGCATCCTCCACCTTGCAGAGGATTAATGTTCAAATTATTGTACCAACTGTTTCATTAAATACTGTATTGTATTAATCTATAAAAGAATCAAACACTTTGTATTTCATAAACTTTCCTATTTAACATAGAGGCTATTGAGATAAAAAAAAATCAGAATATTCATTAATTAAAATATCTTTAACCAATTTCCATCCCCAGCATGAACTGACAGATTGCTAATACTTAAGACTTCTACCCTAAAATTTCAAAGACAAAAAGAAAATAAAACCATTACAGTGGTGCAATAATAATAGTTTAAAATGTATAAACTGTAACAATCAGTTTATTATAATTTAAAAATTCAAAAGCAGTCGCAAGGTGCTCAGCTCTTTCAACTCCTTCATCTCAGAAGCCTTGGTGGGGGAAATACTGTTCTCCCTAACTGCTTAGGCAGCAGGGGCACCATTAGAATCCAAAAGTACAGTAGTAGTTCTGGAACTTCAGTCAGAAGATCCACCAATGTAATTTCATTCAGGATTAACATGTTGATTCCAAGTCCATCAAAACCATGAACCCGCCCCCCAGGTTCAGTGTACTTCGCACTTGCCACGATAGATCTGCTATTATGAAATTGCCTCAGGCACCAGATGTGTGCAGGGGGCAGCAATGAGGTGAAAGTAAACAGAACCCAATGTGCCACACAGCCTGACCTATGCCCCTAAACTATCATGTGGCCCTCAGGTATAATGGAGGCTCCTCCTGTTCCATTTCTAGTGCTGAACTAACATTTAACTGCTAGGCTTCTGTATGTGACATATGTGGTGGAAAAGCCATCTTCTCCTTTATCACGAATGAAGAAAATAGGCTGACCCTATTTTACTCATGGCAACTTGGAAATTTCATTACAGTGGCTCAGTCCTAAGTAATGTACTCATAGTTTGGGAAGGAACTAAAAATGTACTGTACTTACTCTTGGTACTGGAATATACACTGGCTGTGTTTCTGCCACAGGAGCACTGAAGAGATGGACCAGGGGCCCTGTACCACATGCCGTGGGCTTATTTTGAAACAAACTGTTGGCTACTTGCCCCACAACATAGTCTTCATTTGACTTGGCAATAGGAAGTTTTTCATATCCTTTGCTATTTAAAACAAAAGTGGTTCATTAGTTATGACTTTGTATGAAAACATGTGCTGCACAGTTTATACTAAACATCTGAAATGCAAAAAAATGACCCTGTAGCGCAGTGCTTCCCAACCTTGGGTGCCCAGAATCTACAACAGTACTGAGAGTGAATCAAAAAAATCTTGTTTCCACTGAAGATGGAAAAATGTAAAGTAATAATATTACCAGTATTACCGTGTTGCCCCGAAAATAAGACAGGGTCTTATATTAATTTTTGCTCCAAAAACCACATTAGGGCTTATTTTCAGGGGATGTTTTATTTTTTTCATGTACACCCAACTACATTTATTCAAATACAGTCATGTCATCTTCTTCTGCTTGCTGCACAATGGTGAAGGGTGGGGTTTCACTTAACTAGGGCTTATTTTTTGGGTAGGGCTTATATTAAAAGCATTTCAGGTTAGGTCTTATTTTTGGGGAAAGAGGTAGTTCCTTGAAAGTTGCATTGTAGTAACATCTTCAAGGAAAAGTAAATGCTACAGTTATCCTGAATGAACTTAGAAAGGCAAGCAATTCAGTATTTCTAGAATAAGAATATTCCACATGTACATATTACTAGCAATGTTACAGGATACACGTAATCTGAGGTTCATTTAAATGAACAATGTTTGAAATATTTTAGTGCTACTGTATTTTAACCATCGTTACCTATTCAACAAACTTGTACAGCATAAAATGCAGCACCTCTGGAAAAAAGTCAATGTAAACCCAAATCTGGATTCTAAAGAAAGGGGGAAAATAGGGTGAATTAACCTTACACTGCCAGCTTGCAATAAATACATCTAGGCCAAAATTCTGTTTACATATACAGTGGTGCCTCGTATAACGAGCGCCCCGTTTAACGAAGAAATCGCATAGCGATGGCTTTTTTGCCATCACTTTTGCGATCGCACTACGATCTTGCCTATGGGGAAAAACGGCCTGGGTAAGCGGCGCGGGTAGGCTTCAAGCCTTCCCGATCCCCCCCCGTCCCCGATGCCAGTAGCCTCCCCGCACCGCCTACCCCAGCC